GACGAGAGTCCTTCTATTGAAGACTCCTTTGGATGTTTGGTACGCAGGTTTTAGGTAAATTTTGACAAATGTCTCTCCTCCTCAATTTTGTCGAGTCTTGTGTTGTGTGACGAACTGAACTTTCCATCTAGGTTTTGATCTTTGTCCAGTAGTCTAGGAAGGTTCTTCATCTGCTTTGTTGGGGTTAATTTTTTTTTTTTTTGTAGTGACTTGAAAAAATCAATTCCTTAATGACCAATGTAAAAAATAATATCTTATACTGTAATCAAATGTCAACTTCACAAGATTACCTAAACTTGAATCAAACGATAACTTGTAAAACTAGCACAATCTTCCTAGGTTTTCTCAAATAATATGTAAACAGTTTTATTTTGTATGTTAATCGGAGGTAATTAAGGATGATCATTATTTTGAGAAAATGAAGTTTTGAATGGTGATTTTTTGGATGACGTGTGGTTAAAAAGTTGATTTTTTTTTTTTTTAATTTACGTGCAAAATATTTTATTGTATAAATAATTAAATATGTGATTGAAAATGATTATGAGAATTAAAGTATTTTGAAATAATGACCATTAAAGTGGTTAAAAAAAGAAGAAAAATCAAGGCTTGAGTTTTTAATTATGGGAAACTTTCATAAGCAAAAGATTAATTATTACTTATTTCAAAACTAAGAAATAAAGTTCAAAATTTCAAAAACCATATATTAATTACATTTCATTTATGAAATAATTAATTAAAAATATATTTCATTTATTAAATATATTAATGTTACAATTCTATACAATTTAATCACAATTATTGAATTAATTGATAAAAAATTATTTCTTGGCCACATAACAAATTATTTATGAGTTAAGACAAAAAATTATATCACAAATTATTTTTGGGTCATAGATCAAAATTTTTATTGGTCACAATTTATTTATCGATTACAAAATCACAAATTTTATAAGTTACAACTTATTTAACTGTCACATATTATAAAATGAATTGATCACAAGTAATTTCTTGATCACAACTTAATAAATTATGAGTCACAATTACATTTTATAGGTTACATATTATTTATTGATCACAAATTAATCATTTTATTGGTCAATTATTAAACAACATCAACCAAATAATTGGTCACAAACATCCTCCACCCCACCCCCAAAAAAATTCCCAAATCTGCTGCCGAACATCGCCACCACCACCTGTATCAACAAAAACCACAGCCTGCATCAACAAAAACATTGTCACCGTCGCCCCCAGATCCAACAACGCCACCGTCAAATCCACTGTCAATTTAAAACAAAACATATCCACCACCATCGTCACCAACAAAAACCACCGTCAAAACATGTAAATTATCATCACCACCATTCACTGCTCGAGGCGCCTTTGCACAATAGCACTGCAACCACCCATAGACATAGCTCAACACAGACGCACTGAGTCCAACACAGACCAACAACCCAACCCCTATAGAGACACAACACAACCACTAACACAGCCCTACAATGAAACACATCCCACTAGATCTACCAATACCATTGCACTGCCACCACCATGTGGTGCGTCGCAGTGATGACAAATCGCAGATCACTGCATGGATGAAGCCGTGGCAGTAGTAATGCACCACTCAATCTGTGATGAAGGCGATATGCGAGTAGATCGTTGCACGTGGTGGTGCTAGGTGAGGTAAGGTAGAGAGAGAGAATTGATTGAAAATTGGAAGGAAATGAATATTATGATTTGGAGTGTAGGTATATAATATTGAAAATTGGAAGGAAATTGAATTTTAAAATATTATTATTTAATATTAAAAATTGTATTATGATCTAATTTTTGTATATATAAATTATAGTTTTGATTTTTGAAATGTAATATTAAAAAGTAGGCCACCACGTAATTTCGACTTTATTTAGCGCAGGGCCCGGCCCATCCTTATTTTGAATTAGAAATTCATCCTGTACGTGAGATCCGACTTCTCGAATTAGTCTGCTTCCCTTTCTTGCCCTAACTCGCGCGATAAATCTGTTGAATTCAGCTTTGGATTTCTGGTTTGCTTCTAAAATCAACGATGGGTAAAAATGATGAGTTCCTGACCCCAAAAGCAATTGCCAACAGAATCAAAGCCAAGGGTTTACAGAAGCTGCGATGGTATTGCCAGATGTGCCAGAAGCAATGCCGGGACGAGAACGGGTTCAAGTGCCACTGTATGAGCGAATCCCACCAGCGCCAGATGGAAGTCTTCGGCCAAAACCCCAACCGAATCGTCGATGGATATTCCGAGGAGTTCGAGACCTCCTTTCTGGAACACATGAAGAGGAGCCACCGATTCAGCCGCATAGCCGCCACTGTTGTGTATAATGAATATATCGCTGACCGCCATCATGTTCACATGAATTCTACCCAGTGGGCTACGCTTACCGAGTTTGTCAAGTATTTGGGTAGGATTGGCAAGTGTAAAGTCGACGAAACTCCCAAAGGGTGGTTTATTACTTATATAGACCGGGATTCGGAGACACTTTTTAAGGAGAAGATGAAGAATAAGAGGATTAAGACAGACATGGCGGATGAGGAGAAGAAAGAGCGGGAGATTCAGAGGCAAATTGAGCGTGCCGAGCAGCTGATGATGACATCCACAACTGCGAATGAGAATGGGTTGGACCAAGTAGAAACTAAGACAAGAATGTTAGAAAAATCTAAGGGAGACGGTGATAAGAAAATTAAGCTGAGTTTAGGGTCTACAAAAAACCTTGTTGTAAAGGAGAAGGGGGAGAGTTCTAGATTGGTGTTTGATGAAGGGGAGAATGATAATAAGAATGGGAAGCGAAAGGGGGAAGACCAAATATCGGGGAAGAATGGGGGTGGAGCATCAGTGTTGGACGAATTGATGAGAGAACAAGAGAAGGCAAAAGAGAGGATTAACAGGAAGGATTATTGGTTGTGCGAGGGAATTATTGTGAAAGTTATGAGTAAAACCTTGGCGGAAAAGGGGTACTATAAGCAAAAGGGTGTCGTACGGAAGGTAATTGATAAGTACGTTGGCGAGATTGAGATGCTTGAGAGTAAGCATGTACTGAGGGTTGATCAGGAGGAGCTCGAGACAGTGATTCCGCAAATTGGGGGCCTTGTAAAGATAGTTAATGGGGCATATCGCGGATCAAATGCAAGGTTGCTCACAGTCGATACTGACAATTTTTGCGCCAAGGTTCAGATTGAGAAGGGAATATATGATGGGAGGGTTCTCAAGGCTGTCGAGTATGAAGATATATGCAAACTAGCCCAGTGACAAGATCAAATCATGGAATGCTTTATCTTCTGCTCTCTGGGTAGTATCAGCCATCAGGCCTCAACTAGAATAAACAAATTATGTGTCTCTCTGTTGCTCACACTGCATATAACAGGTTAAACGGTTTGTATAATGAATGTACTAAAATCTTTAGGGTAATTTTTCCCCCTTTCTATTAATGGTTTGGAATTCTATTTTTTGATTTAGCAATGAACTTTTACCTTCAGATGCAGTTGATTAATGTATGATATATCATATTATTTGGTAGATTACGTTTGACTTGCTCAGTTATTCATGTTTAATTTGTTCCTGATCAATGACTTCTGCTGATTCTGGTTGTACTGCATTAGGATGATTAGTGGCTGTTATCTTCTTATAAAATTGAAAGATTATGGTTAACTGTTCGAAAAAATTATCATTACTATCCAGTATCCATTTGAGGTATCTGATGGACCCTGCCTTGACATGCACTCTTAATGGATTTTGCCTATAGATCTTTCCATTTAGCCCAGAGCTTGTATTCTTGAGTCTTGACTGATGAGATTTAGCTTTGGTTGAATAATAGACTGTCTTCTTGCTGAATGTGCTGGATAAATATACACTTGGGACGTTTAATTTTTCTATGAATGATCGAATCTAAGAAGTCAGGAGGCAGGAACAACTTTTGGTTTGAGACCAATGACTGTAGTGCCAATACATATTTCTGCAAGCAGTAAATAGGCTCCAAAAAGTTGAGGAGAAGAAAACTCCAACTAAAGATTTATTATTCCTTTTAATTAGGCAGGCTACCTAGTATCACCATCTGGCCAAGTTATATGGTTGCTTTAGGTTTTTTATATTAGTATTTTAATTTAATGTGTCACCAGATGCCTATGAGAATTTTTGTAGAGCCTTTCATAGGCATTAGCAGTCAATCGTAGCACCTGCACTTAGTGGTTTTGACATACATGCTATGAAAAACTGAAGTAATCATGTGATTTTTACAAAAGGTTTGTGCCTCTTCTATTAATGTACTGTCTCCAATTCATTCAAAAGTTCATCTACCAACCAATTAAAAGAGCCTGCAAAGAAGGAACTATTGGAAATCTAGCTCTCAGTAGTGCATCTCCTTTTCCTTTTGGGAAATCAGTGCAAGCATATTAGGCCCATGTTTGATGGCCATTATTGAGAAAAAATGATGTTTTGAAAGAAAGAGAGATGTAGAATTTTATGGCACACTCTAAAGAAGGGAAATCAAGTGTAGGATTATTAACGATATCCTGCTTGGAAAGAGCATCAATAATAATTTCCTTGACGCAGAGGTACAAAGTGCTTTGAGCTTCATCTATAAATTCTGCTTTGTCGTTCGTTACCGTTTATACACATCCACTTGCTAGTGATTGTGCAATCATATCTGGCCAGTTTTGTGTGTGATTCATGCGTCATTTATTCAAGTTTTCAAAAATTGAGGCCTGTGATTGAAATATTTTGTTGGTTATAAAAATCTTTATGGTTAGTTGGAGATTTTACGGATTTCATGTGTTCATTTAGGAACTCTTGTAATTTGAAATATGTAATATATCCTCTGATGTGTTGGATGACTAGATTGACCTTTTTTCTTTTTCTTTTTTACTTTTGAGAGTAATTTTGTTTTGAGTTTGATTTCATCTAATAAGGCTTTGTGGAGCAGGGTTCAAGTTTTTGGTTTACAATGCAAAACTTGATTTATTTAACTCAATATATGTAGGCTTCATTCCTATCAAAAAAATATATGTAGGGTTCATTTCAAAAATCTAGAAACTGAGGAATTTCTTTGTCCTGGTTATTTTGGAGCAAATCAATCATAGGAATGGCAAACGAGTTCGTCGGCTTGGACGGCCCGGGAAAAGCCCGAGCCGGCTTGGGGCTCTTGGGCCAAGCTCAAAATTCAAGGCTTGGCCTGAGCGTAGGCTATCTGGGCTAGCCCATAAACAGGCCATTTTTGGCTCGTGTTATTGGCAAAATGCAGACAGCTGTGCTAGGCATGGCAACGAGCTGAAACTCACAGCTTGTGTGCAGCCCGAAAAAACGATTGGGCTTTTTTTGTCAGAGTCAATCTAGCTAAAGCCCGGCCAAAATTTTAAGGCTTGGCTCGGGCTTCGTTGAGCCGATTCAAGAGTTTTTTAATTATTTTTTTTTTAATTCGTGAAATTCTAAATTCTTTTAAACAATGTAAATTTTGTGCAACTCTTCGGTCATTATGCTGTTAACTTTATCTTGAAGAAACAATTATCATATTTCTAGTCCTTCAAGCATATAAGAGCCTTCAATACGTCTTATTTTAGTGTTGATCGTTCGTTTGACAAAATTCTAGTACCTAAACTAAATGCAGTCTATGAAGTTACCGTAGACACCGGAGGTGTTAGTAGATCACGTGTAATTTTTGATACAATTAGTTATTGCCTTTTGATAGATCAAAATTCTCTATTTGTGGTCGTAACACCCTACAAACGTTCGCGCACACATACGTAAATAACTCAAAAGGCATTTCAAAATTTGTATCGCTCTAGATATGGATTAACTAGGACTAAGTGAGGGAGCACTTGTATTGGACTTTAAAAATCTTATAAATCCTTTGAATTCATTGAAGTATTTCTTGTAAAAGTACGTTGGGAACTAGATCTGCTATGACTTTACTTTTCAGCATAATATTTATACATTTCACGTAATAAAGATTCTATGGGCGTGTTCGCTAGAGATTAAAATTAGATTAAAATTGAAAAGTTAGTTGTTATTGTTGACTTTTATTAGACAAGTGTGACTCAATAATGGCTATATTTTCAATTTTAATTGGATTTTAAGCTACACCGAACAAGTAATATATTTCCATGTGAAAATTTCAAATTCAAGTTATTTGAAATTTCCTTTATAATAGTTTTAGTGCCCATTAAATTAAGTTCATGGTCCATCATCGAGGCTAAAAGAAATAAAGAGAGCAACTTTTCCCAATATTTGTGAAATTTTAACTCCTTAGACAAGATACATAAACAAAAGTTGGCAAGTAACAAGCTTTTTTTTTTTTTTTTCTCAAACTCATTTTCAATGTTACATTTACATAATAAAATATTTTGTACGTAAACCTAAATTTTTTCTTACTTCTTTGCATTTGTTTGATTCCCATTTTTTTTTCAAAATATATTTTTCTCTCTTCTTTTCTATTACACATTATTCTATAAAATAATATTATACGTAAATTCAAAATTTTTCTTTATTTTTTAAAATCACATTCTCCACCGATCTACTATTTCAAAATACATTTTAACCCAAAAAATGAGGCTCAAACATGTCCTTAATAACATATTCTTCAAAAAATTATTATTCCAAAATTAAAATGTCTACCAAATAAAGGCTTAGTAAGTTAAACAATTCTCGTAAAACAAATAGTATACTTATCACTTTATTGCTGTTTCGATTATTACACCTAAGTATTTGCACAACAATTCGCTTCATCTAGATACGGAAACTTAATTAATAAATGAAAAATAATTACATAGGTAAAACTATATAAATTATATTTATATTTTAACTTTTAAATTAACTTTACACATTGATATTAAATCTTAATTTTTTGTAAGTACTGCAAAAATTATTCTTAAATAGTGAAATTCCGACTTGTTTTAGTTATAAGTTAATTAAAATATTAGTTAAAGCATTTAGTTCTAAAATGATGTTTATTTCACAGTAGTTTAGTTTTCATACGTAAACACAAGAATTTTTGTCAAAAGAAATAATTATTTAATGATATTATTTTATCAAGCATAATTTTTCAAGAAAATAATATGGTAATGTTACATCAAATTAATTGAAGTATGAATATAAATTCAGCTCTTGTTTGAGCTCCATTTTTTTTAATCAAATTATATTTTTGAACAGTGATTTGACCGTATTACAACTAAACATTCTTCAATAAAATAATATTACACGTAAATTCATCCTTATTTTTTAATTACACATTCTCTATCATAACACTATTGCAAAATACATTTTTTTTGGACACAAAATGAGGTCAAACAAAATTTAATTTAGGAAAAATTGCAACAGCGGTCCCAAGCCTTTTAATATTTTGCAAACTTTACCTTAACTTTCAATTTGTACCACCACGGTCCCAAACCTCTGAAAATTCAGCACTTGTAGTCCAAAATGATGGAAACTGTGAGTTTCACCGTTAGTTGACTTGAAAAACGGAAAAAATTGAATATTTTGACCATGATATTCTCGCCAATCACATATTAACAATTAAAATAATTAAAGTATGGGTTGCTATAGAATTGATTGCGACTAACGTGGAAATGGTGAATTTGAATTCGGGTTTGGATTAGTTTCTTTATTTTTATCTGTAGATCTTGGATTGTATGTTTCCAGATCTAGGATTTGTTTGTTAAAAAATTGGATTTTTTATCTTAGGGTTTAGTTTTTAGCTCCCTTCAATGGCTACCTCTTATCCTCTGTCTGTCACTTCTGTTCGGAGAATTTTCTTGTACATGTGTATAAGGATTTGAATGTGTATGTGGTAGTGTTTTGTTTTGCCTTCAATCAAGAAGATCCCACAAACTATGTCTTTAGGAATTTTTGAAAAAAAGAGGAAGTAAAAACTCCGATATAGAAAAATTTAAAGGAAAATTTGATATTAACTTTTTAAGTTGATATGACAAGCTTCAGAATATTAACTTCTAAATGTACTTCTTGCATTTGAAGACTCTGAATTACAATTTTTTTTTAACTATTGTTAAGAATATTAACCTTGGAAGCCAAGAAACTATTATGACAGTGAAATCTGAAGATGAAAAGTCTATAGATTCAGGATTTATGAGTGAAAATCTTAACGATAAACCAGAAATGATAGTTTTTGATCTTCAAGAACTTTTAGAAAACTTAGGAACTTTGATGCAAGTACCTATTCACAATGAAATCAAGACATTAGAAAGAATAGAAACTATTCTTGATAATGAAATTGATAGAATACAAAATAAAAATGAGAAGAC